GATTAGGTTTCCAACGCTCCAGGTATGCCAGTTTTTATTCCCCGGCCAAAGGTCGGATACTTTTCTCACAGGCCTCTTACTTAAGCCACACAACTGTCTAAGTTTTGTGAAGTGATGTAAAAAAAAAAAGTAGAAACAAAGTTCTTCAGATTCATACATTAATCTGACTTTAACATAGCATGAATCTTATTGTAACTTACATCAACTTAATTAAAACCTAATGCTTCTGAAATTAATATAATATACAATCCAGTGAACAGAAAACATGTGAAAACTGAAGGCTGAGCAGGAACCATTGCTACATTCTAAAATAATGTATTTTTAAATATTTATATCTGGTACTTAAAATTATTGTATAGCAATTAAAACATGGTTACTTCCATAAATGGTTAAAAATAAAATTACTAATTTCTTATATAGGAAAAAAGCATTCTCACCTCACTTACTTCACATTAAAATTGTTACAGTTGACTTCTTATCTAACCCCTTAACAAAGAGTTTTTTGGACACTAGTTGTCCTCTTAAAAGTAGATTTTTTAAGCAAATTTCAAGATTTAGATTTTTGCATGTTACCAAAATGTGCTTTTATGCATACTTAAGTCATGGAACTCAATTTACACCAAATCTGATTTTCAGGGACACCAGAAATGTAAAACTGCATCTTCACAAATATTTTCTAGGCTTGCCAGTTAAGGGGTTAATGTGTTGATTAAATAAAATATCTTTACAATACTTGCATTAAAAGTATTATAGTTGACTTATTATTTAATGTACTGAATCATTAAAACATCTTCCCCACTGTTCATAGAAATTATTATAGTTGGTTTCTTATTTAATATACTGATTAATTAAAACATCTTTACCACAACTTACATTAAACTTTTAGATCAAAATGATTATGGAGCCTCCACAAGTCATGACAGTCCATGTCACCATTTTTGGTTGTGCTTTATTCCAATGACTATCTATCTTGACAATAACCCTGCAGCATAGTTTCCAATGTATAAAGCTTTGTTGCAAGACTGTCATTTCCAAAGCAAACTACTCCTCCTTACCTGCTTTCCATAATTCATTTAGTGTAAGAGGATGATAATCTTTCAACAGAAACCCACAAGTGCTGCATCCAGCAACTTGATCAGTATGTCTCCATAGGTAATATCATGAATATTAATTTCATTCTCCAGCTACTTAAAATATGCAATGGTTAAGAAGGGTTAAGACTGGAAGCCTTATCTTGGCATATCCATACTATTTGGATCCATTTCAATATAAAGACAGTATTTTTGTGTGAAACAAAGGATTCAGAACATTGGTCTGATAATACACAGAGTTCAACTTGACCTAATCCCTAAACAGCACTGAGCACAGTACCCAATGATGATCATGAGTCCCTTCAAAATAGTTCAGTGACATGATGTATACCACTTTTAGTCATTTCCTTCATCTATTGACCAAAAGAAAATGGCATGAGACTAGTTATAATTATCAATGTACACATATGTTTCACTGAGCATCACCACTTACTACCTTTTTCCTCTAGCTACTTACAATTCATACTGTTTTCTACAGTTGGTCTTTATTTCCTTATTTCATGGAAGCCACCTGAATATATGTGACTTTTGTTGCCTTTCCAGATGGAGATCCTTTTTGATTATGTTGAGTACTGTTACCTGGGAAATGAGAACAGTTTCTGCCACTGATCTTTATATCTGTGGATTGTTACTTGTTACAATATGCCAAACTATGCTTATCTTGGCTGAAGCGTAAATTGTTATAGGTCACTTTTTGAATGGTCCTAGTGCCCCAAGTTGGTCCATATTTCGTTTTCCAATGTCATTAAATACAAGGGATATTCTCATCTTGGAAATTTTAACTCCCTGATCTGAAGAAATCTTGAAGATCCGAGTATATGAATATTTTGTTTAGAAAATGGGCTGTTACATACACTTCTTAAAAGCATTTAACTTTCAGTGGCATCATACTACATAAAAAACACCAAACAATGTCAAAATGTACATGGTTTGCTGATTTGCACATTAAAAATAATTCTAATATAAGGTAATCATCCCTCTGCATTTAATGTACTGGTTCATTAAAATGTTGTTACCACACATTACAATTATTACACTTGATTACTTATATGACATACTATTTAATAACATAATTCAGTTTTAACAAAAATGCAGCTGGAGAGCAGTCAAAATCTGAAAATAAAAGGAGATAATATCCTCTTTTCTATGTTTATTTTCAGCTTATTTTTCAGAATTCTAGAACAGAAATAGCCTAAAATACATTGTCTCTCTGGTAACCTTAACCATTTGAACTAATGCATGCTAAAACAATAAAACTTGAAAACTATTTTTATTAGCATTTAAACCTGTATATTTTAAATTTTAACTATCTTATGCTAAAACACTAAACAAAACAAAATTAAAATGCAGATATTCACAGAAATCTAAACTTTTCCTTTTCAAATTTTAAACTGATATAAATAACAATATTTTATTACTGGCATGCAATTTAGAGTAAAAGATATTTTCAGAAATGTTTTTATTGATACTTTTGTTACAAATAAATTAAATTTATTACAATGGTATTGGAAATGAACAAAATGTTTATTTTTAAATCAAAATAAAAACTTCAATCACATTGTAATAGCAATTTAAATATATAACAGCTGGTTTATAATCTTTTTAAAAGTTTTAGATTTGTTAACATGGAAAATGAATTCAAATGAGATCTATATCTAAAAATCGTGGACTTAGCTTTGATGAGTATCCTCTAACCGTAAACAGTTTGTATTATTGTTATTCCAACTTTTGAGACAGTGAACTCTAATTTTATTTTGTCACGGTTTTATTTACCATTCATTTATTATTCCTTCTATCATTTACTTTAGCTATGACTTTTTAGTTGCATTAAAGCACTAACTCACCTTCTAGCTGATCATATTGATTTTGATTAAGTATGTATGTATTATGAAACTCACACCAGCTTCCCCTAGTGGTAACGTACAGGTATTATTAATGGTGTTAAAGGTTATATAAATTTATGGTAATAGCTAGTCACATGAGATGCAATATCATAGTCTAACAACTAAATAAAAGCTCTGCCATGAGCTTCAACAAGTTGGTTTATGAGATGTAGCTAAAAAGTATTACTGCTGATTGTTAATCAATATTGTTATTGATCTTGTAGTTGTTTGTTATTTTTGGAATTAGGTTTTTTCTTTTTCTAGTTCTTTTTCCCGATTCTATTATTTATTGAAATAATTAATAACACTGATAATTATGTTGTATTTGCTCATTAATGTTAGCATCAAGTCCTAGCCAGGTACACATTCATTAACTGTGTTTTTGATATGTGATCAATTTTATGTTCCAACTGTTTGAAAGTTTTATTAAGGATTTCTGTGGTTTTAAAAGTTTAATAAATTAATTTTTTCATTTGACTCTCTTTGTAGCAGCTGTTTGTTTTATTCCATTACAAACTTTACAAAACAAATTTAGCAAATTGAACATTATGACAAATGTTAATAAGAAAAAAATTATTGTAAATAATATGCCTATGTATTTATCTGAATATGCAAAATGTATAAAAACTGTTGAACTATAACCTAGAAAAATAACTTAGCCCTAAACATATATAAACCAAAAATTTTAGAGCTTTTAATGAGGATATTCAATAATTTGGGTTGATTTCAAGCTAATGACATAAAGAAAAACAGAAACTATAAG